CAAGCAAGTTTCCGGTGCGCTGCACCCATCGCTCAAAGAGCTGCTCATCATTTGCAGCTGTTTGCCAGGGGTTAGCACCACAGGAATAGCTCACATTGCGGGTACAGGAGCACCTCCTCTTTGAGCGCGAGGTCGAGCGCGATACCTATCCATTGGGATTTCTTAAGGTACCAAGAAGCGGGCTCGGAGAGCCTTTCGTTGGTCAAGATCAGCTTGTGTAGTGGCCAGGGACCCAAACCTAATGACCGAGTGATCGCGTTTTTCGCCTCAGTAGCGGAAACCGTATTCCACACGAGGGTTAAGAGCGAACGTGGGTACAAGCGCATGAAAAGCACCCTGTGGACAGCCTTCAGCATTTGCTCCTGTGCCGTCGATGCGATTGGTAATGATACCTCCCCCCCGGAAATCGAGAGATGGAGAAGCGAACACGGTGTCCGCAAGGTTCGAACAGGGCTCACGATGCGCCGTTGGCGCACCGCTCTCTCCCCTCTCCCCATTCTGGAAAAGTAGTATCCAAATCATAATCGACTCCCTTCAAATTCTCGACGAGAAAACCCGTTGCCCCTGGCGGCGCGGTATTTATCGCCCGGTTGCCGAGTGCTTGGGATGTGCTTCCCATGAAGCCGCAAAAGTATTGTCCAGAGATGCACCGCGTTGAAGGGCCCTGCCCGCGGGCGCCATCGGAACCAGCTAGACTGCGTGCTTTTCGTGTCATAGATACAGGCTCATTGAGCAGAGAATGTGTAAATATGGTCCTAGGGACGTAACGGTGTCTCAATCACGCGAGCCTCTTTCGAAGTGACGGTTAGATGTGTATTGTGGGTATTTACAATTTTGATGGGGGGAAAGTAACGGGATTACACGTACCCTTGTATGAAAGGGTGGTGGATCGCACAAGATGGTCTGACAATGGTGTGCATTACACTAGTCCGTGTAATCACAGAATGGTTTGGCTACACTGTAACATGAAGCCACTACGTAACGAGTCTGCCAGTAGTTATGCATGTTTATTAGGTTTTACTGTTTAATCAGGAATACCTAAGGTTTTGAATATAGGCGCTTCTGTCACAAATAAAACAGATAATTAAGTTATCAATTTTGAACGGAAGAGTACATTTACCTTGGGTTAAGTTTTTAATTACCCTTGGATGTAGCGGATTGAAGTCCGCTTCATTCGTACTGGTTTTAGTATAAAACGTAAGGTCGGTGACCTTAAGTAAGCTTCCTCTAAGCAAAGCAATACGGTAGCCTCGCTGCACCTGCCCAAAAAGGTTGGATGCTATCATACGTAACCTTGTGGATGTGCTTTCACCAACGCCCGAGTAAGGCATTTTCGGAGGTGACCCGCCATTGCATTCTCATTTCCGGTGAGCACTTCCCGGCGAGCGATTTCTACTTCCGGTCCCTAGGTCACCAACTGTCGTAGCCTTTCGTCACCATCCTTAGATAGAGCAATATTGAGCATATCTATGTGCTCCGAGGATAGTTTGTCGAACGATTTGTGTACCATATTTACAGCAGATACATTCTATTTAAGGCTCACACGTAGAACTAACGCCAGTTTCTACCATATCGATAACAGTGCTGTGCAGAAAATGATGACTCTACAAGCCTGCATTAACAAATGCACGGAGGATGAGTTGGTAGGTCCGCCAAGGAGCGAAACCAAGAGCCGCTCAAGTACCCAGGAAACGAATTCAAGAGCGACATCTTCAAATTAAGTTCCGTTAACCCAAAAACTAAATTCATTTTCTTCCACTATAAAATCACATGTATGGCATAGCGTTAAGCTTGCAGCCCACGTGTCCCACGGAGCCTCATCAGCACCAGTGCTAAGGCATGTCTTAGCTTTGCACAATAGTAAAATGTCTATGAAACGTGTTCAACATTTGGTCCTCATATTGCAAATTCCTTGCTATATGCTTTGCACCAGATGTAAGAATTACTAATTGATTCTGACCAATGAAACGACAACATTCTGTGAGCACCATGATTCGTGCTCATTCGGCCAATATTACCTTATCTTCAACATACCCATCTTCAATAATTTGGTATGTACTATGTTTTGCAATTTGATTTGTTTCTTTAATTATGTCGCTCTTCTTGTTTCGCAACTGTAAACACAGATGTCACTGCAATTTCTGTCCAGTGTTCTACTCGTAGTATTCTAGACTTAACCTCAGAAAAAGAATATATATATATATCGAGTCAAATGTCGATATTAAGCGGTGAATTTCGCTTACATAGAGCTCTTGCGTTGAAAGCTTGTCTGTGATCGTTCACCATTTAAACTATCGTCATCCGTCATAGCTACCTGCACCGAATTGAGCGGGAAGCCTTGTAATGGTATATTATCCGAGGTGTCGAGTGGCAAGGCTCCATCGTTAGCGTCACTCGATACGTCAACTTGGTAAAAGTCGTAAATGGACTTAACCGTGACTTCTGAATCCTTGCTATTGATGTCCTTGTAGTACGCTTCCTGTGTGAGCCAGATCAGTGGTACCACGTACAATGCCGTAAACACGTCTAACGTATAGTGCTTGCGTGAGGCTACAATTAGGAACGCGATAGCAATCTGCACGCTGACCATAATGGTGATTCCGTATCTGTTGGGCCAAAATTTCCAAACTGTCAAGATAAGTGACACAGTGTAGATTGTGTGGGAGCTAAACATCAAATCACCGCAGCCTTTTAGTGCGTTTAAGCGCGTGAAAATTTCACTAGTGCTAGGTGGGTCGAAGTCTGGATTCGGGACGACACATGAAACGGGATCTCCTGGATTCAATGCCAAGCACGAATCGTCAAACTTGAGCTCACAGTGATCAGCAGAACCAGGAAGAGCAGTCACGAGAAAAGAAATGATACGGAAGAACAGACAGATGCTGAACTGCATCAAACTGCGTTTAAGTACGATCACAAGGTATCGGGGGCGGCCGGGTTCCTGCCGAAAGAGGGGGATTGTCAGGATGAGAATAATGGCTGGGCCAAAAATGGCAGCAAACACAAGAATTTCGGAGATGTCGGCGGCAAACCCCGTAAGCTCAGGCATGAGCTCGAAGCCCAAATCGTGAAGTGTAAAGCGCTGCTCGGTCGAGAGGTACTTGCCTTGAATATAGTACGCTAGATTGTGAAAAATAGCGTGAACGTACTGCATAATGACACATGGCAAGATAATTTTCCACTCCTTCGATAGAAGCTGCAGCTCAATCTTCACATAGTTGATAAAACTTGCTTTGTCACGAAGCTGCCAGCGTCGTCCCATGATAAATCGTTCCTAGGGCAATATGCTTGTCTCAAAAAACATTCAAACAGCTACAGGGCAAGAGAAGTTAAGTCGTGCACGTACCTCAGAGCTAAAATCTGTTTGCCGCTGATTTTATTACTGACTGAAGTGCGACTTGCCCCCTCTGCGTATGCAAAATACTTGTACAATTCGGTACTGATCGTGCCCAGTTGGCGTGCTGTCTGATTGTGACGATGGTCGAAAACGGGCCAAAAGCCGGTTATGTCTAATTATACAGTGATACGTCGATCCAGATCAGGCTTCATCATCTGATATCCCTACATATCCAGCGATATACTGCTAAGCTCTTTTACAGGGATTACGTTCAAGCTGTCGCAGATAAAAAATTGGATTGGAAGATATAAGTACAAAAACAGAATTTCCAAGTACTGCCCACGTTTTTAATAGCACGATACTAAGAGTTGTTATAGTTAAAATACTATTTCGGATGGAGCTTTAACTACTGAGTTTTTTTGCTTTAGCGTGAGACTCTGATGCTCGTTCTTGATGCGACTGGAGAGATTCAAATACCAATATGTTTGTGTCAGCTTTAACGTGCGCAGTTGCTTTGCACGATTGCCGATGGATAATACAAGGCTTGCAACTCAAGTCAAGTTTTTACAAGACTAGGGTCTTTCCCAACTCATACCAGGCTGTACGATACCGGAACGATTGGCCAAATACTCACAGGCTGCCTGCTGCAGCATAGGATTGTGAGCTTACGCTATCAAAGGCAGATGTTCGCATTTATGAAAGTGACGAAGCGCAATTGCCATCGCGACGTAGAAGACTGTGTTAAAATCCACTTCTGGAGGAGAAATTAGTTGAGGTCTTTGTGGTCTGTGTAATCCAAGGTTACAGTACTAAAAGCTGAAATTGTTGTGTCAGATTCAACGGTGAAATGGTTATGGCATCGTACCTACTCGTTATGGATGATAAGAACGGGCATTTAGTCTAGCTTATTCCTCAAAACGTTACTACCCGTTTGTGACGTTATAGGAGGAATGTACCTGTGTCACTTGCAATGGTTTAGTTGAAGACTCTGCACAATCAAAAGCACGAGTAAAAACACTACCACTCCATCGTACACATTTCTGTATCATTTCCTTTATATACTTTAACTAAGCAAAACAAATCACTCCTAAGCAGCGAAGAATATTGATGATGAAAGAAATGAATTCTAGCTATCACAGATGACATCTCTTTCTCTAGCCATCTTAATGGCTTTTCGCTAATATTACACAATGGGATTGCGCCTTATTTCTAGTTGGCCAGATCATTGCCAACACGACTTGGTATGAATTTGCCAAATTGACAATTCAACATTATTAGGTGTTGCATTTCGGACATTATGGACAAGGCAATTGTTGTCTTCAATGTTTATGTGGTTTTCGACGGATTCGCTAACGTTAACAGCTCATGTCAAATACTCTAATGCACTCACACAATTTGATCGCCTATCGAGACAACTTTCAGCTTAATTCTTTTAAATTATCAGTGAAATCGTCATTTCGTCGAGAACCCCTTTAACATGCTCACCGTGGATTACATTGCTTCGACCTCAACCACTGCGTTTGACTTTTTTGGCTTGAGTTACCTTGGCTGACTTACTTTTGACTTAGGTCACTACGGCAATTTTCAATTGCCTTTGCCATTTGTACAAATTAAATACACGAAACTAAATCAGTTTTGCTTCATGTGAGTGTGAAAGTCATTATCTGCGACGACCGCCTTAACGACTCGTCACGCGTTTGCCATTTTCATTCTTCATCATTCAGTGGACGCTGAAACAAGCTTACTTCTTTGTTCGCATGAGTGTGACGACTTATATTTTATGGTGTAACTGCTTTCGCGATACACCGCTGTATATTTACGCAGATGTGAAGCATTTATTTCGATTCGGGATATTAGATTCCGTGATAATTCTTTTGACTCCACGCGGATGTAGATGTTTTACTTTCATTTGAGATGATCACTATTGCGGGGTATCAACTTGCCACCTTCGATGACGGGTCGATAACTCATTCAAAATTATATGCTTTCTATCTACTTTATGTCTGTATCGACTGTTTCCACTGAAATAGGTAACTTTGCACGTATCACCGTCATCATAACACAGCAAGTGTAACGGGAATTGCCCGTCAGTGTATACGCACTTACTGGGGAAGACTTAAGTCTCTTCATACGCTTCACCGCGTGTTGCTCACTTCCAGTAAGCCGCTGCAGCGAGGCTGCCATAGTTATTTGGTTAGAGGAAGCTGAACTAAGGTCACCGACCTAACGTTATTTTCAAAAACCAGGACGAGTGTAGCGAATCGCAATCCGCTACTTCTAAGAACCAAAAACTTTAAGTGAGGTAAACGAACACTTCTGCTTGAAATTGAAAATATTTTTAATTGTTTTAGTTGCGGCAGAGCCGCCAATATCAAAAACCCTAGATTCTCCTGATTAATATATTAATGTCTGATTCATATAGCAGAACCTAATAAGTATGATATTATGCATTACTACTGACAATCCTGCCACGTGGTGGCTTCTTGTTACGGTATAGCCACACCACTGTGTTATTACACTAACTTGTGTAATACACACCTATATACGGTCGCACCATCTTGCGCGACCCGCCCTTTCATACAGGGAAATGTGTACTCCGTTACACCCCTCCCATTAAAATTGTGAATATCCTCAATTTACATTTAACGGTCGCCTCATACGTGGCTCGCGAGTCTGAGACATTGTTACGTTCTTAAGAACAACCTTAAAAATTCTACGCTCTATGAGCCCTGTGTCTAAACCCAGCCAAGCTGGCTCCGAGGGTGCCCAGATAAAGCCCTTCTTCGTCTGCACAGGGTGCATCTCCGGACAGTACGTCCGCCGCTTCACGGAATGCACATCCCTAGCCCTCGACAACCGAGCGCAACACACCGCGCCAGCCCCGGGCGATGGATTTCCTCGTCGAGGAGTTGGAGGAAGTTGATTACGAGTCGGATACTTCTTTCCCAGCATGGGAAGACAAAAAGGATAAGGTACGCTAACGGCGCAACGTAAGTCCAGCTCAAACGTTGCGAACACCATGACCGTTTCCAGACCACTCGACTTTCGAAGATAGGGTAGCATTAATAATCGCCTCGATGAGGCACAGGAGCAGCAATTGCTCTCCTGCGCTCGTATCCACGTTCGGTCTTAGACCCTCGTGTGGAATACGGCTTCCGCTCGGCGGATCCAGCTACTAAAGGAAAAGATGCGATCAATCGATCGTTTGGCGTCTACATTGCCGGGTCTCCGGCCACTACACAAGCTGAGCTTGACCAGTGGAAATCTCTGCGAGCTCGCTTTTTGGTACCCCAGGAGATCCAATGAATCGGTACCGCGCTCGACTACAGGCTCAAAAGGAGGCTCTTCTGTACCCGCAATGCGGACCATCCCTGTGGTGCTCGCTCCCGGCGAAACCGCAGTAGATGATGATATACTCTCTGGGCGATGGGTGCAGCGCAACTGACTTCGCTGTCTACCTTACAGCAAATCCAAAGGGAAGTAAACGTGCGCGTAGAATGCCACCTTTCATTTGAGCTTGCCAAACTCAACGCGCAACGCCGAATCTCCTGCGTATCGGCGCCCTGCGACATGATCACCACGCTTTTGCGAGTTCTGTGGTTTCTCACACAAGTGAGTCTAAGACCAATGCAGCTCAGGGCTGAGCTTGAGCTCAGCTGAGGGCCCTTCGGGTTCCCGGGCTACTGCCGAGAAGCGCGCTGCGCGAGACGACGCGAAGCGTCATGATCCTTCTGATCTGAAACGTCTACGACGTCTGGTCAGTCTTGCCAAAGTTGCACCTAAACCTCCCACGAGCATTCAAAGTTTGGGTATTCCTGCCACTTCACAAGATATTGGGTTTGACCCCGTCGACGACGTCGACCCACAAGGCGTTTTACGTGGTAGTAGATGCCACCACTCTCATCGAGAAGTGTCTGCGGCAGATGATGACGACTGGGTCGATCGCCGCCCGGTGATTCGCAATGCTCTTCGCTGGAGGACAAAGTCTGTCTTCATCGGCTCTCCGCCGAGCATCGCTTCAAAGTCGCTTACCACTGTGCGGAAGACCTCGAGATTCTGGCGCGATTTGTACACCGACTGCCTCGCGTTGATGATTATCGTGCTCGGTCAGAGCGACTCCAAGGATTCAAGCAGGCGAATACGTCACTTCGTGTGACGGTGGAGCGACCTGCGCTGTTGGAAACGGAATTTGTTGCACTCCGTGCTCAGAATTAGTTTTTGTATAACGTATGGATGGCCTAGCGCCTTTGGGTACCGCCCCGGCGCCAACGCTTCCGCGTTCACTTGCGCCGGCTTTAGCAAGTCCATATAAATACCGGGAGGGTGCGCATCCTTCTCGAAAGGTTCATTGTATACGCTAGGCCACGCTTGGCCACGACCCAATAAACCGTGGACGGAGCTACGGCTTAAAGACAGCAGAAACTGCATGTGTAAGAAGATTTTTAGCATTTTGATAAGACCAGGTCTCCGACATCAATATTTTCAACATTTCTTCTTCCTTTTCCATCTGTATGCTCCTTTTGCATGTCTTGGCTTTCAGCCATCGAATCGCGAACGTGTCGTGAGACACTCAGTTAAGTATACAAGAAGTCTTCGACTTCTTTACGCACGGTGGCGGGCTGACATCAGATAGCGTTCGGCTATCCCACCCCCACCAAGCCTTGAGCCACAGGATGGCGGCGTCAGCGGGACACCAGGGTAGATAAACACGTTAACGTAGAACGGAGTATAGCCGGTACATGAATGCACTGCATTGCCCACGTAGAACGGAGTATAGCCGGTACATGAATGCACTTCATTGCCCACGTAGAACGGAGTATAGCCGGTACACGAATGCACTGCATTTTTCAGAGCAAACTCGACTTGTGGCAAAAGAGCGCTAATGCGCTTCGACGATGCGATTTACAAGCTTATTCTTACCATCGTTCTGCGGATGGTTCGCTGTTGACATTGTCAACTTGGTGCGCAGCGCCTTGAAGAGTATGGACCAAAACTTCCCAGTTAGGCGCGGGTCTCTATCAGAGATATTGACTCCGGGAGG